ACACCGGCACGAAAATACCGCTTGATCTCCAAGAATGTCAACCATCCGCATGCATCGCAAATGCCGTAACGCAGGTCATTCCTAATATATTTTTCCAAACTTCAACGCACAAAAGTATAAAATATGGCTGGTGTAAAAAACGTGGAATGCGATCGCAATGTATCAGGTCAAAGAAAACAGTGAGTGACACTTGTTAGTACGTGGTTGACACAAATGACTTTTCGCACTTAACGATGTGAATTCAGCAAATTTGGGACGCCTTAAAGTATCTACTGGTTTTTTGTCAAGAAATTTTTGTAATCGTTCGCGTCACGTATAGATAATGACGCGGACGTGCAGCGTGTGTCGCCATAACATGGCAAATCCAGGTGAACAGAAGGTGCACAGCTCGTCGTTTGATCAAAAGACGAAGATATTCTCGATCTAAATCAATTTATAGGAAAATGCACCGTCTTCGAGCACAGACCGATTCGATTGAATTCAATGCGTGTATGATTGTACACTCTTTTGTTCAAAGATCAATATTTTAGACATACAAGATCGAGGGTGCGATCTATGGCAAATCAATTGCATCTTAGATGGCATTATACATTGAAAAGTTATTACAAAATATCATTGTTTCGCTGTCCAACATACATGCAGCGTTCCATTGCTCGACTTGATGGCAATTGTTTATCATCTTCAGTAAAAAAAAACGGCTAGGCCTTTACATGGTTATTCAGATTTGTTGATCACCTTATGGACTATATTTAAGACCCGATAGTTGAAAATTAAAGTAGTTTGTTGTATTCAGTAGCTATCATACGAATGGAGGACTGTTTGAAGTGGTAACGAATAACAAAAAAAACTGACTATCGAGGGAAAAATAATGCGCGAAATGCGAGGCGAATCTGAATTTCAGTTGAGTCATGTATATTCTTGTGATGGTTTCCTGCCAAAATCACTACTTATGTTAAATTGTCGTGCAAAGACTTCCATTCAATATTGTCGATCAAAGCGCAACTATTATAAATTCGATACATGCATAGACCATTGATGTTATCTTACTACATTCTATCAAAATTCATGATCACAGCCTTCTTAGCGCGATCATTTATGTTTCCCTCTGTCAGCCGGAAAGCTGGAGTCGCAAATTTGAGCTTGAATCTCACTCACATATGCAAAATAAACCTTCGCTATATCGCGCAGTTTTTAATGTTTTCAATGAGTGAATTTCTAACGACATTTTTTTCTAAATCGATCCCCGTATTTTTGCTTTATAAACTTGTCGAGTCGACGGCAAGATAATTAAAATAGGGACTAATCGCGATTATATTTGGTAAACATTTTTAGACTATTTAACCGGATACCTTACTCACCTTAAAAAATATTCTAAAACGCTTGTCTTACTCTATGCATGGACAATTATTTCGATAAGACATACGAGGGTCGAATTACTATTCTTTTGCAAGATCCACCCGATTAATAAAACCCAATATTTCTTTGTAATTGCCGCGTTGTATAGGACCTTAATGTAATGCACTGTTAATATCACCTAATCAAGTGTTATGGCCCTAAATCAATTAATACTGCAATACTCTAATCAAGGTCATAGCTTTCTCAATGACCCTGCTATAATTTATTTGTCTCGCGACTCTAATCGCATACCTCTGTCACGATAATCGCGTTAACTGGAAATATGTCTTGTTGTATAGCTTCCTCAGCTACGTTCGTCAATATTATAAAGACTAATTGTACCTATTTTACGAGGAATGCGCATCTGAAGAATAACTTAACGTTATAATAAAATACTTGGCCACTTAATTCGCGTCGGATATACATTGCACATAAATAATCTTAGTTCTGAACCTCACAGGATCGATCTCGATCGCGGCATCTTTTTTCTACGACGCAGTCTCTCTCTTGTCGTCCATCTAAACTGAGCAGACATCGACATGGCAACATGTTGATACTGATGAGTGATGGCGTTATTAACGTGTATGTCTCCAACAAACGTTCATCGCACCCACGACTCTTGTGTTGTGTACTTGGCCGGGCACATGTTCAGCTTTGAATGTCGTCCGTCCGAGCGGTCACGCAGCAAATTGATAGCAGCCGTCGTTGCTGAAGCAGTGTGCTACGTCTTTCAATCCAAATAAGCTGCTGCCCATTCAAAGTAGCATGTCCGATGGATTGGTGCGAGATTGTAGGACATCGACTCTTTACGTTTTCTTGGCAGCTGTAAAGCAGCATTTGGCCAGCGCAGAAAGCAAGGATGAGTGATCTGTACATGCATATGTGCGCGCATCGTGATGGGTTTGTGGGTGGGAATGCAAAAGTTGTGTGCGGTGGGTTGATAGTGCAGTGTGTGGCCTCGGTAGCTCAGTTGGGAGAGCGTCAGACTGAAGATCTGAAGGTCCCTGGTTCGATCCCGGGTCGCGGCACCTTTCTCTCGGCGTCGCAGTCTTTCTCCTGTCGTCCGTCTCGATTGCGCAGACATCGACATGACATCACGTTGATACTGAAGAGTGATGGCATTGATGCCGTGCATGCCTCCAACAAGCGCATACCGCGACAGCATAGAGAGGGAAATCCCGTTCATAATTAAGTTGCTTGGACGAACGAACCGTTACTTAGAGTCGCGTTGTTTGATAATGCAGCGCAAAGTAGGTGGTAAACCCCATCTAAAGCTGGATATTGGTGCGAGATCGATAGCGAACAAGTAGCGTAAGAGAAAGGTTGATCGAACTGTGAGACGGATGTGTTGACACGAGTCGGTGTCGTCTAGTGGTTAGGACGTGAGCTTAACACGCTCAAGATCGAGGGTTCGATCCCCTCCTCCGATATCTTCTTTGGCTGCACGATCGTCCATTCTCCTTCATGCTCAAGATGGAATAAACCGCACCGGTGTTCGATCCATTCGCCGACGTTCAGTGCTACCAACTCCAAAAAGCTCTGCCGCCAGGCTAAATAACGGTGAATCATACCGTTTGCCAACCGGACGCCAGTAACGTTTGATAGACGGTCAGGGTTGGTATGAAGCAGTCAACAAAGGCATGGCCTGGGTGCGGTACAAGAAGTGGCGGGAGAGTGCGTTTTGCAGCCGCAATCAGAGCGTACAAGATGCGAGGGATGTCGCTCGTGGCTATCGTCGACGCGCTGCAAAATGCGAAGAAGGTCGCGATGGACGTGGATGTAGTTGGTAGTATGAGTAGAGTCGGCACTTGACTAACGTGAGGAACACCGTTGGTCTAAGCTTAGTATTCAATCCTTTCTAAGGATGAGGTTGGGGTTCGATTCCCCGACGGCGCACTTTTCGATTTCACCTTAGTGTAAGAAATATAGAAAGCATGGTCGATGACGCCTATTTGTTAAAACGCGCGCCAGACGCGTTTCGGCCCTCCCGCCGGGGGTCTCGCCAGTGGCTTTATCAATCTTGAAGTGAGATCTTGCTCTATCCTACGCTCAATGACTAAGAACCTTATAGAACTCAGTGTAACCACACAAATCACCCACTATAACTACCAAACCTAACAGCTGGGGCGTCTACTCGGAAAGGAGTGTCCGCTACGACAACTTCACTTCCAACAGTTAGTACGCTGCTGCCAACACCGTCGCCTTTTCATATACCTGAAGTGGCAGACCAAGTCGATATCTAGGTCGATTGACCTATGGCTCTGTGTGTGACACGTGATTGAGGCGAGAGTGAGTCGTGGGTGTGATAAGAGGTGTGATAAATGATTGGTTGTTGTTGTTATTATTGTTGTTGTTGTTGTTTTTGTTGTTGTTGTTGTTGAGAGGAGCTCCTACAGCTCAGTAACAGAGCACCCGCTTAGTAAGTGGAAGGTCGGTAGTTCAATCCTGCCTAGAGGCAACGTTGATACACACAAATGCAAATTTGGTCGTATCGACACCGCCTTTGTTGCTCGAGAGAGTGGCGACGACCGTCATTTATCTTCGTGTCTGTCAAAGCGCTTCGCATCGGTTTCAGCCGACGCATCGTTGTATCCGTGCCATAAGTCGTGTCGTCGAACGATGTGTCTCCTTCAGTGTCTGACGCATTTTTTTGTAAATCGAGCAGGCGCGTACCATTGAACTACGATTGCAAGCAAGGATGAGTGATCTGTACATGCATATGTGCGCGCATCGTGATGGGTTTGTGGGTGGGAATGCAAAAGTTGTGTGCGGTGGGCTGATAGTGCAGTGTGTGGCCTCGGTAGCTCAGTTGAAAGGTTGGCTCTATATTATAATAATTTAGACGAATGGACTTCTCAATCTACATAGCTAAAAAGTATGGCAGGGTGCGATAACTAGCGACAGTGGCTTACCGAGGTACGCGGGGTCGAAATCCCCGTCGATGTTTTGTGCTATGTCGTTTACTTGTGGCTCCCCCCTTTTTTGAGTGTGAGTGTTTTTGTTTTTTTTTTTTTTTTTTTTTTTTTTTTTTTTTTTTTGGACGCAAAATTTGAAAAATGGAGCGATACAAAGAGGGACGACGTCGGTGCTCGGCGCGCGCCCCCCAGATGCGTTCACGCGTATCGGTCGACGTCTCTGAACTCCTGGAGGTGTGTGCACACGGGGGTAACACCGGATGCGGGTCGCGAAAGCTGAAACGACGTCCAGCAGCAGCGCACGTCACGTAAGTAGTCCCGTGGCGACGTGTTGGCAGTCGTGTCGAAGAAGTGCTTTTTTTCGAAAAAAGTGTTTTCTCACGTTTCTTCTGTTTTGTTGTTGCAGTCCGGACTGGGACCGTGAACGAAGCGGGTTGGTGCAGGAACGACACCGGTCGGGTATTCCACCGGAAGAGTGCGAAACATCCAAGCTGGTCATCGCGTGTCGAGTCCGGCCGTGCCCGAAAAGCGACAAGGAGAAGCATGTACTGTGCAGCTTCCACGGAGGAGGCTTCGGGAGAGGTGCGAACGCGACCTCCGCAGTCACCGCTGTGTCGAGTACCATGCATGCTGTCCGTCCATGAAGTAGTTGCACGGTTGGGCTGGACCATCGGTGGATAGTGGTGATGACTAGCGGCGGTGTCGGACGCCCAGCACAGTGGAATTGGCGCGCACGAACCCCTCAAATCCGGCGTGCCGCCTCATCTCCGCTAGAACCATGTGCTGCGTCTGTTGTTGTTCAGGGTCGTATCGGCGACGCAAGGTGTGCCGGAAATGGGCGCAAGAAGCTGAAAAAATTGCTAGCAAGGCTGGGGCGGCAGGCGTCGGCTGCCGACCATCGAAAAGACAGCGATTGCGATCCCGCCAGAGGAAGTGAAGCGTCACTGCTCTAACAGTGTGCCACACATCAAGAACAACACCGGCGCGCGCTTTCCAAGTGTCCCGCAACCGAGGCTTCGTTGCCAGCGCAACATTCATCCAGGTCGTTGGAGCGCGAAAGAAAGGCGACATGATTTGGCGGACCTGGTCCCATAACTGGACGGCAAGCGCGCAGTCGAAGAACAAGTGCTGTTCGGTCTCGATCGCCGCGCAGCCAGCACGGACGCAGATGCGAATGCGCGGGTTGGAAGCTTCGAGAAACCAGAACCGGGAGCGAACCGGGAGAAGTCGAAATGCTAGACGAAATTGAAGGTCTTCATATACGGGAATCAAGAGACGCCGCAGATACGTGGAGGATCGCACAAAAGCCTTGACGTGATCGTTCCCCATGCAGGGCGAGTGAAGCGACATTGGATGCTGCTTCGTCGGTACCGGCGGCAGCCAGACGACGCAAAGAAGTGCGGTCCGAGGAATAGCGGGGACCAAGCACACCCGACCCCCACTCGTACACCCCAGGTGTGGAAGTAGACGCTGTCGTCCGGAGGTATGCTGTATACGAATTCTAGAAGCACCGAGGCGCTCAACGATTTGCGTGGCTTCGGTGTAAAGCACGCGCAGCCATTGAATCTGTTTCCAAGGCGTCGCGGACGCGAGCGTGAAGTCAAGGTACCGCTGGACAAACTGATCCTGCGATGGCCAAGCCTCGCCAGCACGGATAAAGTCCGAGAGCGACCGGATACCAAAGTTGCGTGACACGTGTAGTCGAAAGCTCCGTTGTGGCTCAACCACCATGCCTATACAACGACGGTGTGCTGTGACGGTGGAAGACCGTATAGACTGCTCGAAGTGAAGAGCAGCGTCAGCGTGAAACCAGATAGGTTGATGGAGACCGTACAAAGCGCGGTCGTCTGAAGGAAGGTCGTGCCAGGTGATGTCCCATCGGATAAAAAACCATAGCTTCCACGAAGCCTTCCACCAAGCAGAGGCCATGCTCCAATTAATCATTTTGCCATGGCGAAGCGGAGATATGGTTAGAAAGTCCAAGGCGGTACGACGACCCGTGTGCGGTATGACCAGCGCAAGAAGCTCAGAGCCGGCTGTTGTCCAGTTCCTGACAGTCGTGACGCTCAGGCCTTGAATAAACTGGAGAAGAAGTTGGAGACGCTGGCGTTTAAGATGAGCAGCGAGGCTGGGAAACCCCAGACCTCCGTCTTGGCAACGTTGGTACAGGAACTCAGTGGGGATAAGCTGTACGTGAGTCGAAGCACGGTCATGTTTACGGCTGAGGACGAACCTATTCAGCATCGATTGCCAGCGCCGGACGGTAGGCGACGGAATGGAAACATGTTGCGTGTAATGCCATAATCGAGACAGTATCATTGTCTGGGCTACCAGCAGTCGTCCACGAAGAGTCCTCGCCCGGCGGTACCACTGTTTGAAGCCATCATAGAAGCGCTGCTCGAGAAAATCAACGAGACCAAAATCGACGGCCGACTGCCCAAACGGTATTCCAAGATACTTGACCGTGTCCGTTCGTCCAAGAACGCGTAAACCCGGAAGTAAAGGACACTCTTGACTCCGGTTGAGTGCAAGCAGAACAGACTTAGACAGGTTGAGCTTTGCTCCCGACCCTCGACAGTAGTCCTGAACAAGCCCAAGCTGTGCCTGCAGGTTCGGAATGGAGCTGCTCAGTAGCGTGGAGTCGTCGGCAAAGAACGTGCCTGTGGTAGTGTGATCCGCGGTCAGGCACACCCCATACTCATCATGATCTCGTAGCAGATTGCCAAGAGGCTCAATGGTCAAGATGAAGAGGAGAGCGGACAGCGGGTCGCCTTGTTTAACTCCCCGAGTTGGGAACAAGGCGGGCTGAATGTTTTGGTTGATAAGAAGATGTGCTTGAGGGTCGGTGTAAAGAAGCCGAATCCACTGGGCGAACGTTGATCCAAAACCCATCTTATCCAGCACTTTGAACATATAGTCCCAGTTGACCCGGTCGAAGGCCTTCTCGAAATCCAAGAACAGCGCGTACGCTTCGTCGTCCCGACCGGTAACCAGGTCTTGAAGGTCAGCAAGAAACCGCACATGATGATGGATCGAGCGTCCCTTGACGAAACCTTTCTGGTCCGGGTGAATCAAGTCCGAGATCACTTGTTGAAGTCGGTATGTCAACGCCTTCGACAGCACCTTCACATCTACCTGCACGAGTGCGATGGGACGATAGTTGCCTGGCAGTGCACGTGATCCTTTTTTGTGAAGCAGCACCACGGCAGACTTGCGTTGAGAGGGAAGAAGTCGCCCTCGTTTAAGCTGGTCACGAAAAACCATGCTGAGACACTCACCGAAGACATCAGGAGCGACCTGGTAGAAACCAGCCGTCAGACCATCCATGCCTGGCGCCGAAGTAGATCGCATGTGGCGAATAGCAGCCGCTAAATCTGCAGCCGTTACTGGAGCATCCAATATTGCACGGTCCAGGGACGATACGGAGCGGGTAATGGAACCAAGAAGACGACGCTGCATGATGGCGTCCGGGGGAGTCGCCCTCCCAGCCGGACTATTGGTGTCGCCCATCTCGGAGCCCCAGTGCTCGAGAAATCGGAGAGAGATATCGTGAGGGTTCGTCGAAACTTCCCCTCTCAGCGTCACCACCTCCTCGATGGAGACACGTCGTAAACTGGTATCCAGCGGGCGAAAGAAGTGCTTGGTCGACTTTTCGGAGTTGGCCACGTGGAAGTCAAACGCAGTGTCCTGGTTGTACTGACTCGTCCGCGTGACCGTCGCCTTGTAGTACCGCATGGCTTCATCAAAGTAACCCCGGTGTACCGAACAAGAAGATTCGCGGTATCGAGCAGCGGCCTGATCGAGATGAAGGCGAGCCGCTTCAACCGCCTGAGAATCTTGAAGGCGTAATTTCTTCTGAACGGATTGCAGTTGAGCCTTGATGCGTTGTTTCCACTCTTCCCAGACCTTGCCGGGGTTTGATGAAGAGCAGAGAACAGTCCGGACCAGTACCGCTTCTGTCTCGATAGCAGACACCACCATGGGATACTGCAGAAGGTAGCTGGGGAACTTCCAATATCCTCGTCCATGAAGCTGGGATCCAGACCGAAAACACACACTGTGAGCCAGATGGTCGCCAGCGTGTTGTGGGAGAAAATACTTGGAGTCCCCATAGAACTGATCAGAAAAGGCCGCAGAGAGCAAGATATAATCCAGACGATTGCGTCGTGGAAGCGGACCAGTAAAGACCCGTTTGGTATCGAAGTGGATCCGCCACGGATCGACAACACCCAATTTCGCCATCCATTCAAGACAGCTGGACCGACCCGGATCGTAACGCAGGTCTGGAGTCGAGGAGTCGAGTCGTGGGTCAAGGGGAGTATTCAGATCCCCCAACACAATGTGGGTAGCATGATCTTCAAATTCCTCGGTCACTAGACCGGAGAAGAACTGATGTTTCGCTTGGTGGTCCACTGGAGCGTACACGTTGTGGATATAGATGGGCATGTCATCTACCAACACCTTGACGACGAGATAGCGCCCCGGGACCGCCAGGCGGGAAATTTCGACAGCCGAATCGAAACCGGGAAAGTCGGAGCGAAATATGGTGAGCACCCCGCTACTGCGACCTCTAGTCGGACGATGCAGTCGAGAGTTGGGGTCGTTGACGAAGATGCGGTGTTTGAAGCTCGATTCAAGGTGAAACTTGAAGGTGGAAAGATGGGTGGTGTCGCCAAACTTAGTTTCTTGAAGACATGACACCGAGTACTTGGAGAGCAGCTGGTCGATGAGAAGATGCCCATTCTGCTTGATGCCGTTGGTGTTCACCGAGAGAACACTGATATTGCTCCATGGAGTCGAGGAAGAGGCAAGTTTAGCAGCGAGTGGCTAAACCACCCGCTATCATCGTGACTTCTCCATCAACAGCTCGAAGCTGCAGTACAGAAGAGTCCACTGGGTAGAAACCGTCGAGCTGCTGAAGAACCTCGAGTGTGTCAAGAAGGTGGCCTTGCCACTGTACTTCTCTCCATTGCTGCATGCAGTGAACCCCCAGCTCGGACCGCAAAAGTCGAAGGAGGGCATTCGGATGTAGAAGACGCGTGTGATGCGCCGGGATCCACTCGACTGGCTGACCAGTGATGTACTGGATCCAGTGATCGTTTGCAAAGATGACGGGGGCGATGGACATAAGCACAATCTCGAACATGCCCAGTGCTTTCGACGCACGAGATAACTCCTCGATATCTGGGGACGACGTCCACCACTTGGCGCACAGACTGAAGATGTCACCACGCTTGGAAGGGACAGCTGAACCCATCAGCTTCTTCCATTTCGTGTTAAACGTGTTGTCCTCAGCTGGATTAGTCGCACACAGTACACGGTTGATTGCATGCAACTGGGCGATCTCATCAATCGCTGCCCCACCTGCCGCCATCGTCAGCGACAGGGCACTGTTAAAGGCGAGTGGAGACTCGATCACTTTCTTGGTGAAATGATCTGGATTCGCGGCGTTTTTAAGAATCTTGCACATACCCTCGACCTTGTGGTTCGCCGCATCCAGGAGATCCGGAAGAAGGCTAAGAAGCGCTGTGTTCTCATCATTAAGCATTGCCTCCGCCACTTCGGGAACGAACGACGCTTTGGCCGATTTCTTGATCTTCGTGTGATGCTTCTCGACAAAGAAGGCAGACTCCGTCGAAGTCTGCACCGCATCAGGACGCTTCACTCCCAAAGGTAGGACTTGGTGGCGGACACCATGTTTCGGGTCATCGGTCAAAACCGTCGATTCAAACCGGACTTCCATAGTCTGAAGCACCTGGAAGTAGTTGGAGGTGGCGATACCATTCAGCGGAAGCGTGGATTGCTTGACCAACATGTTGGAGAAGTCAATCGCAGTGCGGCCTCGTTTTTTGCGCGAGGGTGCAGCAACAAATCCGTCATCCTCGCCCGTGGTCAGCAACAGCTGCGGCGCGGTCCGAGCTCTCGGGCTCCCAGGAGGAGTAATCTTGCCATGCGATCCCTTAAATGATGAGATGGACAGAGCATCAGAGGTAGTCGACGGAGGTCTGACGAGTTGATTGGAAGCTGATGGCTTCCCATGTAGAGCCCCTTGGCGGAGCTGACCTTCCCGCTTATTAGCTGCCTCGACTTCCCTTTGAAGTGAGGTTTGCTTGGTCGTCGTCAAAGTTGTTGAAGCAGCAGGGGTTTTCACAGCGTGCGCGTACGTCGACTGTGTGGTGGTCCGGTGTTGGTGCTGTGACGAGGCATGACCCGTCACAGACGGTGGAAAGACGCTAGAGGGCGTTCCCAAATCGAGACCATGGTGAGAGCGGTACCCAAACGGCATCCGGTCCGACTGGAACGGGGCGTTTTTACCATGGGCCGGGTGAAGCTTGTTGTCAAACAGCACTTGGTCACAGACACTGCCGTTCAAGATCAGCGCACGTGGACATGAACTCAGCAGGAAGTACACGCGCCAAGTGGCAGACATGATACCAGTCGCTAGGTTTACCTCACGAAAAGTGTCGTACACCGGCTTGCATCCAAGCAGGAATAGGCGATGGAGAATCAGTTGGGTGTCCGTATCCGAGTCCATGTTGGAGATATCGATGTAGTACTTGCCACCGAGGACGTCGAACTCCTTGAAAGTATAAACACCACCGAGGATGTTCACCTTCGTGCGCTCGAGTCGTAAGCAAGCCTCCCTCGACTTCACCTTAACACGGAGGTCACCACCAGGCATTTTTGAGATTTGGCCAATCTCGTGGCTACGGTATAGATCTTCAAGCGAGTCATTGCCGTGGTGTTTACCCGAAAGTGACACCATGATCTTCTGGAGCGGAGTCTTCGCGAGCGTCCGACCAGTAGCAATCACCATGTCGTACTTGGCGCGAGGCAGAGCATAGGGCCTCGCCTGGTCGATTCGAGACGCGATGAACGACCAATCACCTCCAGTGGCATATTGATGCTCGATCCATTCGATGTCACTAGCGAGAGGCTTCGGCGTCTCCACGCGACGGCGTGCAGCATCATCCTCGGCGGGGTCACGGCGGATATTGTCTTGCGTAGCAAGAACGTCTGCCATCGTTGGACGAGGCTTCGCGCGCGGCGGCGAGGTACCGGCGTCATCGGGTGGTAGACGTGGATTCATCGACACGTCGTCAGATGCGAGCGCGGTCGTAGGTGAGCCGGAAGAAGAGGGAGGCCCTTCCATAACCTCGTCGGTACCATCGTCACTGGAACGCGTTCGCAGCACGTTCGGGGACCCACCCATCGGAGAGATAGGTGTGCTTGGAGCGTTCGGGGGAGAAAGGCCGACAGTAGAACCGTTCGGAACACTGGAAACAGTCACATGGTTCGGACCAGAACCATCAGATGATGGCTGGTCGGAAACAGGTGGCGAGATGGGCACTGGATTTTCCATGGAAAAGACAGGGCGAAAGTCCGAAAAAGGCGGGATGGGGTTCCTCAAAATTTCACTTAAGCGTTAGCCAGCAAATTGAGAAGTGCCCGTGTAGCTCAGTTGAAAGGTTGTCTATATTATAATAATTTAGACGAATGGACTTCTCAATCTACATAGCTAAAAAGTATGGCAGGGTGCGATAACTAGCGACAGTGGCTTACCGAGGTACGCGGGGTCGAAATCCCCGTCGATGTTTTGTGCTATGTCGTTTACTTGTGGCTCCCCCCTTTTTTGAGTGTGAGTGTTTTTTTTTTCTTTTTTTTTTTTTTGGACGCAAAATTTGAAAAATGGAGCGATACAAAGAGGGACGACGTCGGTGCGCGGCGCGCGCCCCCCAGATGCGTTCACGCGTATCGGTCGACGGCTCTGAACTCCTGGAGGTGTGTGCACACGGGGGTAACACCGGATGCGGGTCGCGAAAGCTGAAACGACGTCCAGCAGCAGCGCACGTCACGTAAGTAGTCCCGTGGCGACGTGTTGGCAGTCGTGTCGAAGAAGTGCTTTTTTCGAGAAAAAAGTGTTTTCTCACGTTTCTTCTGTTTTGTTGTTGCAGTCCGGACTGGGACCGTGAACGAAGCGGGTTGGTGCAGGAACGACACCGGTCGGGTATTCCACCGGAAGAGTGCGAAACATCCAAGCTGGTCATCGCGTGTCGAGTCCGGCCGTGCCCGAAAAGCGACAAGGAGAAGCATGTACTGTGCAGCTTCTACGGAGGAGGCTTCGGGAGAGGTGCGAACGCGACCTCCGCAGTCACCGCTGTGTCGAGTACCATGCATGCTGTCCGTCCATGAAGTAGTTGCACGGTTGGGCTGGACCATCGGTGGATAGTGGTGATGACTAGCGGCGGTGTCGGACGCCCAGCACAGTGGAATTGGCGCGCACGAACCCCTCAAATCCGGCGTGCCGCCTCATCTCCGCTAGAACCATGTGCTGCGTCTGTTGTTGTTCAGGGTCGTATCGGCGACGCAAGGTGTGCCGGAAATGGGCGCAAGAAGCTGAAAAAATTGCTAGCAAGGCTGGGGCGGCAGGCGTCGGCTGCCGACCATCGAAAAGACAGCGGTTGCGATCCCGCCAGAGGAAGTGAAGCGTCACTGCTCTAACAGTGTGCCACACATCAAGAACAACACCGGCGCGCGCTTTCCAAGTGTCCCGCAACCGAGGCTTCGTTGCCAGCGCAACATTCATCCAGGTCGTTGGAGCGCGAAAGAAAGGCGACATGATTTGGCGGACCTGGTCCCATAACTGGACGGCAAGCGCGCAGTCGAAGAACAAGTGCTGTTCGGTCTCGATCGC